TTAGCCTTCCTTACTCAACGTTGATTTTTGTTGTTAACACATTTTGCTGGTAATTTGATGTTGTTAATTCTTGGATGGCTCTATATATATTAGTTACATAAGTGTTGATTGTTTGTTATCTATCGCCTTGCATTCTATTTTGTAGGACCTGCTAGATGTTATTGACAAATTTGAAATAAACCTTTTGCAAAATCACAATATACCCAGTCCTCACGAAATTGAGTATATTTCACCCAAAAGCCCAACACAATGGCTGATTATCACTTTGTGTACAAAGACGTTGAAGGAGCCTCCACTCAGTGGGATGACGTTCAGAGAAAGCTAGGAAACCTACCTCCAAAGCCTGCTCCATTCAAGCCCCCAGCCTTCACGCCTGCCCAAGATGGGGCGTCTGTCCCCAAAGACAAGTCTTGGATCGACCAGAAGACTGAGGAGGAGCTCGAAGACCTTGAGGACGATCTAGATCTCGATGACGACAACTTCCTTGAAGAGTATAGGTTGGTTTTCTCTTCATTAATTTATATTCGTGTTCGGTTGTTGCTTTTTTGTAATTTAATTATTGAAAAGTAATTAAATTAGTAAAATTGACCTCAGTTGATGCCCGATTGGTCTATTTGATGGCCAGAAGGAAATCAGATGACATTGGTTGATTCATTAATTGAAGGAAATCTTAATTTGCTTATCACCATCTTGATTATTAGTTAATTAATTACCTAATTTGTCTTCTTCATCGAATTTCTCACTGTAAGCCACATACTTTGGGATTCTTTAACAAAAGAATTACAAAATCTCTGAATTTGATGGAACCTTATTTTCGGATAGGAAAAGGAGGTTGGAGGAGATTAGAGAAGCAGCTAAAATCTCTAAATTTGGATCAATAAATCCAATATCAGGGTCGGATTTTGTGCGAGAGGTTTCACAGGCTCCATCTGATGTTTGGGTCGTTGTTATTCTCTACAAAGAAGGGTACCATCCATATCCTACGCACTGAATGTTTTTATTGTTCTCTATATTCTGATGACTTTACATTTTTGTGTTAACATCCATGTTATGTTATGATCTCATCACAGAATTCAAGAATGCGATGTGTTGATGAATTGTTTGCAAGAACTGGCCGCAAGATATCCAGCCACAAAATTTGTTAAAATAATTTCCACAGATTGCATTCCGAACTACCCAGATTGTAATCTTCCAACTCTGTTAGTATACAACAATGGCGCAGTGAAAGCAAATTACGTGGGTCTTCGAAGTTTTGGCAGAAGATGCACGCCAGAAGGTACATACTTATATCTAACTACGAATGCGTCGTTTGGTTTATCTTTGTGCTCTCTGTAACTTCTTTTCTAATTAGTTAGATTTCATTGCACTAATGTACAGCGATCGTCACGAGATTGGTTAGATATTTGACTGAAAGTTATCACAATAATTTCATCATGGCACAACATTTCACATCATAATGGTTGCATTTGAAATCGTGTTATATGGTTGAGTTCTAACTTTGTAAGCCATCCGATACTTCAACTTTCATTAATTCTAGTGCGTTTATTTGCTGGGTTATGTGAAACGCATGTCTAAGGGAAGTTTTACAGACTCTTGCTAGTGGAGAAATTAATGATTTTTATAACTCAAGTGATAATTCTTCTTCTGAATGGAACTGAATGTCTGTAACATCTACCCTAGAAAACACCACCTTAAACTTTCAGGTTTATCTATTTTAGTCTATGAACTTTTAAAATGTCTATTATAGTTCTTAAACTTTAGGAAACTAAACATTTTGGTTCTTGTACTTTCAAAATGTTAATTTTAGTCATTGTTATATTATTTTGCCACTTGAAATTCTCGAACTCAATACTCGCTCTCAACCTATGTGGTTTGAGTACATGCTGTTTTTAGTACAAGTACATGCTCATAATAACATGTTAATATGCATACTTGAAGTTGTATTCTTAATTTGTTAAATTAAGATAAGGGTAAGGTCAAATTGATCACATTTTTAAAGTTTAGGGACTAAAATAAACATTTAGAATAGTTCAAGGACTAAAACAAAAGTTTCAGGACCAAAATAGAATAATCGCAAAAGTTTAGAGACCAAAATGAGATTTAATTCTAACCCACGAATGCTTCTATCCTATGGTATTTTATTTGATAACCATTGGAGGATGCTTTGAGATGGGAAATTCTTAAAACAATTTATCCTAGATTTTGCCATGCTGTTGACTATATTTGGGTTGTAAGCTCTGTAACATCGTTGGAATGATCTTATAACTTTTGTGGAACCAGCAGATTAGTAAATTCGTGTTTATGGTTTCCAGGTGTTGCACTAGTTCTTTGTCAAGCCGATCCAGTGCTTGATGATGGTCAGTCTGGAAACGATCGATCGAGAACATCCGTGCTTGAAGGAGTACGCAGAAAGATAATCGAGAAAGTAGTGAGAGAGCATGAAGATGAGAATGACGATGGAAATTCGAGTGATTAGATTTGGAATCAGTCACTCTGTTCTATGCTATGCTCTCAGCTGTTTTATTTGGATGTTGAGAAGTGTTTGGTTCTAATTTGTGAGTTTCTACAAATTAGAACCAAAAGTTTTATCATCTAATGAATGTTTTTGTGATGTATGATGTGCCTGAAGTTGACTCACTGCAACTCAAAAGTTTAAAGGACCAAAAATGTATATTCAATAATTTTTTATTGATTTTTTTAATGGTCAGACATCGAAAGTAGTCTTAGCACAGTTTATTGTTCTGGTAGTGCTGCTCGGACCTGGGCGGTGGTGTGGTGTACCTTTACAACTTTACTGGGTATCCTCTCCTGAGCCTTTGGTGCTGCATTCTCTATTCCACAATCAATCCCCTTTCGGGCGTTGAGTAACTTGTCGGTGCTCATGTGCTTCTGAGCTTGGGAGATGAACTCATCGAAGGTGAAACAAGCGTTTTCTCTCCTAGGGTCTGGAGAAATTTCTCGTCTCGTAGTCCAACCATAATGGCGGTCAGTGCAGTGCCATTTGTGTTACCCTTCTACTTTTAAAGTCTCGTTGTTAAAGCTAGCACATCACGTATATGGCGGTGACTGAAGCTCTTAAAGAGGTGATATGGCTACGAGAGTTGGCTAAAGAATTGGGGGAGAATTTAAAAGATCAGTTGGTTGTCTACTGTGACAGTTGGAGATCTGTTTATTTTATCCGGAAACCAAACTTTATCCTGAGGATTAAGCACATTGATGTATAATTTCTCTTCAAAAGAGATATAATTGCTAAATGTTGCTAGATCATTGGTTAATTCCTTTATTGTCTTAGCCATGCTGATATGTTCTTTGTTATTAGCTGGATTTGACTTATATCCAGTAAACTTATTTTTTCCTACAGCTCAGCCTTTTTTTTTTTTGGTGGACAGGATTGGCACATCTATTATGTTATTTTTTATCACTATACGAGTTAGTTAGTGCTAGGACTATCGGAAGATAGAGCGACACCAAAATTTCGAGAGATTGAGCATCGATGCTGTAGAAGAAGCAAAAAGTCGTCTGAGAGATCTACATTTGCATGAGATTGAGTTTGAGGGTATATGTTACTTCTTGTTGGAAATGGTAAGGTCGAAATTGGAACAGCTGAGAAAAAGTCGTCGTGTCATGGGCGGAACCACCGCCTTGAAAGCAAAATCGGGACAACCTTGATGCTAAATTGTTTTATTGTCGGTATGCTCTCCAAAGGTTAACACAACCTCCTACTACCTTAGTAATGAATGGATATTTTTTACATATAGCTATCAGACCATATGGATGATGGTAAGCAAGCAAACAATGAGCAGACATGGTATAAAAATCTATGTGTCCACCCTTGACGCAAAAGCGCTTAGCAAACTCAAATGCACCAGTGTCARAAAGAAGAGATTTGTGAGTTTCAATTTGAACTCCTAATTTCGAAAATCAACTTCAGCAACTTGGGTATCAGCGATGACAACATCATCACCGAGCACATTGATTGGGACACATCAACTAAAGTGGCTTTTGAACGAGACCTATCGGCTTAGGGGCACGTTGAACAGCCCAAATTAGATTTTTATTTTCCAAAAAATAAAAACCTCCAAAAAACCAAAGTCTTATCCCTTTGTATGCCAAACTCCCTCCAACCTTGCCACTTGTCCTTTGACTCTCATTAAAGAACCATTTGAGGCTAGTTATGTCATTCCCACATTGTCTACCTCCAGCATTTGTTTGCGTATGCGAGTAGGAATATAATCTCACATCGACTGCAATTGGAGAAAATTCTTAGGGACAAACCCCTCTTTTAAACTAACAAGTAGATTTCTTCTTTGTGAGTTGTGAGGGCTTACAGCCTTATACAACAGAAAAAATACAAAAAGTTATAATTGGAAAACTGGCGACACACCAAAAAGAATGGAAGGTGAAGTTCTAGATACCTGTAATCTCTTTGAGGGCAGTTGGAAAGATGTTGCATTTTGAAACACTCTAAGCAACTCACAAAAATTTGCTGTCGGTTTTCGCCAATTTGAGTTATCCCTTCCAAAATTAGAGTCTCCAACTTCTATGTTTACTTTGAATTTTGAAACACACTCCAAAGTGGGTAAAACATTGCTAAAATTGACACTTTTGAGCCATGGTGTACGTAATTCAACCTCAGGAAAAGTTAATTCCTTTGCAAAAGAAACACACAATTATTCGAAATGCTTAAGTTTTGGAGCACAGGCAGCAACACTCTCAAAACGATAGTCAACCAAAACCAAAGATTCCAAATTTGGACAGCCCGATAACATGTTATAACTCCTTTGTATCTTTCCACCATCGATCTCTAAAATTTTCAATGATGGAAGCGTCATGGCTCCCCCATCCATCCACAAGCCCACATTTAAACTTCAGTATTATTGTCTCTTAGACTGATGAACAAGCAGATAAATAGGGCTCTTTTGTTAACGTTTCCGTTTCTTGTTTCTCGTTTTCAATTTTCTAAAGAAATCTAAGCATTTTGCAACCAACTTTGTTTCTGGTTTCCCCTTATTTGGAAATGTTCTCACAATTGTATAAAAGTTTGGAAACAAACCAAATAAGTTTCTTTTTTCTTGTTCCAATTTCCAATTTATTCAAAAACATAAATAAAAAGATTGTTTTATCGTACTTGAATAGGTGGACGTTGGAGCCATGCAATTCATTTTTATTCATTAAAAATGAAGAAACAAAAACAAGAAGCAAAAAGATTAGAGCCCGTTTGGTGACGTTTATGTTTCTTCAATTTTAATAAAAAAAATTGAATTGCATTGCCCCAATACCCCATAAACTCAAGTATGATAAAAAAAATATTTTTATTTATGTTTTGGAATAAATTGGAAAGGAAACAAGAAAGAAGAAATTTGTTTTGGTTGTTTCCAAAATTTCTATACAATTTTGATGAGAATGTTCCAAAAAAAAAAAAACAAGAAACATAGGTTTCTTAAGAAAACTAAAAATGAGAAAGAAGAAACGGTAACGTTACCAAATGTGCCCTTACTAAATGGTTCCGTAGTAATTCTAGTCATAAAAAGAAAAACCCATATCACAGGTATTATTGATGCAAAGTTGTTGAACACCATAGCAGTGTTACTAAGGGACTGTTTGGTTGGAGGTTTAAAAAAAGTAACCTAAAATTAAGATGCATGAGATTAAATTACCTGAAAATAAGATGTCTAGGATTAAAAGAATTGAAAATAATAACTAATTAAATTTAATTACAAAATAAGTAATATAAATTAAATTATTTTAAGTTATTAACTATTTTATATTAACCTTCTAAATTTTAAATTTTAGTTATAATGGCAATTAAGTACAATGGTCCATTGAATAATTAATAATAAATGTTATTTAACTAAAATTCAACATATACATGTTTAGCAAAATGATAGTATAAAGTATTAAAATTAACCAATTTATTAACTTTTTAAAAGAAAAGTTGATTCAATTATTCAACTTACGGTTTTAAAATTTTCTTTTTAAAATTTTGAAGAGATAGAATTAATTTGTTTCTCGATCCTCATTTATGGGTAGAAAAGAAATTCGAGTTTTTGGTAATAGCCAAAATTAAAAGAACAAAAAAATAAATAAATAAAAGAACAAAAGAAAAATGAAAACAAATAATAACAAAGCAAAAAAAAAAATCTGAATCTATGGGTATCAAATAATTTTGAGCTTTCGAAATAACAAAAATTAAAAGAATAAATAAAAAAAATAGAAAAAAACAAAAGAAAAAAAACAAAGTACCGAAAAAACAAATAGCATAGAAAAGGCACAACCAAGGATAAAAAATAGCAATAAAAAAAGGAAAAAATAAAGCACAAAACAAGGGAGGGATCAGTTTTAGGGAGAAAGAGGGGTTATAAGAAGGCAAATTGGGCTTAATAGCGTTTCTCAAACGGTGCTATGGCCCAATAAATCAAATCACCGTTATACCCCTTCACTACTAATTCAGATACATTTTTCATTTGAATTCCAAGAACTTCGGAAGTGTAAAGCAGATCTTGTGGTTGTTTTTTCCACCTTCCTCTATTTTTTCCTTTTTTTCTACAACCATTCCTCATTTGATTTTTTATTCAATTTTTTGTTTCCCGACAAAATCAGAATCGCGTACACACAGGTCCATTCGGTTTTGTCTAAAAATTCATAAACGCATATACATAAGTCTTAAGAGCAGATTTGAAAATAAGTGCAGAAAAAGTTGCTGTCTCGCGTTCACGGTCTCGCTCTTGCTCTGAGTTTCGATCCCACCGGAGGACAATTATAGATGGCAGAAAAGAAAAAGAAGAAGAAGAATGGGAGGCTAAGGAAGATGAGGTGAGAAAGAGATATAAATAAGAGAGAGAAAATGAGTTTTTAGCAGTAAATAAAAGAGAGAGAGAAAAAAGAAGAAGAAAGGGCGGCGGAAGAAGATGAGGAGAGAAAGATAAAATTTTAGGGTTTTTTAGGGAGAAAAAGTGAGTTTTTAGTTTTTTAGTGGGTAAATATGAGAGATAAGACCCCGCTCTCATTCTAAAAATAGTTTTTTCCTTTTTATTTTTTTTCCTCCTTAAAAATCTTATGCTGAACATTTTGTTTTAATTAATAACAAAAAAATTTGATTATTATTATTTTAAGGTAAAGACATTTTATTTAATAAAATTTGAAACTATTCACTTTATACTTTTTATAACGGTAGAATTCATAAAAAGTAATTCAATTAATTAATGATTTAAAAGATTTACCCTCTCATCAAAATTTAACGAAAACGAGAGAGAAGAGAGAGAAAGAGAACGAGAGAGGAGAAAGAGAACAAGAGAGCGAGAGAAGAGCGAGAGAGGAGAGAGAGAGCAACAAAGAGTGCGTGAAAGAGGAATATTTTTAATTTGCTATTACCAATTCAACAAATTAATAAAAATCCTCTCATATATAGCTGAAAAACAAATCCACGTAAATCAACTTAAATGCTGCACATAAATAAATGTATACATATTAAAAAAAAACTGAAACTATTTAGAAATATTTTGTAAAGTTAAAAAAAGTTTCGAAAGATAATTTTGCAAATACTTTTAAATTCGCAAAAAAAAAAAAAACGGACAAATCTCGGACTGAGCCCGAACTAACAGTCCGGGATTTGTCCGGGATTTCACTTTTTTTTTACTCGCTTTTCTCTTCTCTTTCTTTCTCCCTCTCTTTGTTATCGTTTTCTTTCTCTTTTCTCTCATTCTTTTTCTTCAATCTCGTTTGATTTTCTCCATAATCGGGGTATTTTTCAGTTAGAAAAAAATGAAGTTCTTTACATTATACATAACCCAAATAGCAAGAGTGGTATAGAAAAATCTAAAAAATATGTGTTCATTTTAATTTTGAGAAAATTTGAAGAGAGAGAAAGTTTGAAATCCATAAATTGTAAAAATTTTGAAGAAAAAAAAGGAGAAGTTTGAAATCAGTAAAAATGTAATGGAGGGATGGGATAGTAATTTGGAATGGATGGTGATGTCAGCAAATGTTTACAAAATGAGGAGAGGGACCAAATTGGCACATTTCATAATGGGCCTTTAAAAACTGGGGTAATTGGGGTTTTTGACCCCACCAATAGTTCAAACTGGATAAATGAACCCCTTAAAAAAAAACCTAATTTTTGACCTCACCTCTACTTAATTTTGAATCCACCTTTAGTGAAAAGACAAATATACCATTATTTATGATACATTAACTTCCACCCAACCATTTCACCAAACTTTTAAGCTCATATTTTACTTATGTTTTGAGTTTGAAACAATCCAAAATTTTCACACCATCCAAACT